GTATTTGTGTATGTTATCTGTACACATTTAATTAAAAGTTTAAAAAATCTTTCTGTGTAAATATCTCATGTTACAATGTGGACACCTGCAGCTTGTATTCAGGTGGGCTCAATAGTTCGGAAATTACAGTTGATAAAACCATCCAGATGTCAGCATAACATCCATCCACCTGTTCATGTCTACACACATCAACAACACGCTGCAGCATCAACAGGATCAGTATCAGTGAAATCACACTGAACTGAACACAAACCAAAGAAATATTTCACTTCAAACTGATCTGAGTTCAGAGGATCTTCTGGATCCAGATGTGACTCTTCAGCACAAATGACAAACATTCATTGACTTTAACAACTAACACTGAACATTTTCTACAGTTTCTGATACAAACACTCAGCGTTTCTCACAACAAACTGAATTCAGGACAAAAAGCAGAAAACATGAACCAGAGCAGATGTACAGCTTCATGGATGAAGTTCTGTTTGAACATAAATGAGCTTCAGTTGTCATTAAACACACCAAATCTCCAACAGTAACAGACAGTCAGTGAACTGACCCCAGAGTCTGCAGCCTGCAGTCTGGACTCTCCAGAAAACCACACAGATGCTTCACTCCTGAATCCTGCAGGTCGTTCCAGCTCAGGTCCAGATGTTTCAAATGGGAGGGGTTGGACTTCAGAGCTGAGCCCAGAGAATCACAGCTGATCTCTGACAAACTGCAGGCCCTCAATCTGAATGAAGAATAAAAGATGTGAGTTGAGGAGACACAGTTCCTGCTTGAAATCATTCAGAGGTTCATCATGTGTTCAGAGCTGAAGAAGATTCAGAATGTACAAGTTGAGAAAATGTAAACTCCAAACAGTTGAAGCCACCAGGATGCAGCTTCAAACAGTTCAACAGAAGCAGAGAAGAAGAGCTCTCATTAATATGAATGACAACATGCTGCCGCTTCAATAGGACGGAGCCACTTCAGCTCTGAACTCTGCAGCTCCACCAGTGGCTCCATCCACACACACTCATGCTGAGCAACACATTTAGTTCAGTGTGACGGAGCGACGCCGTCACTGGCGGAGGTTAGCGGGCCGGCACGCCGACGCGGCACACGCTGACGCGGCGCACCCGCCGCGTAGCACACACACACACA